AAAGTCGATTAGTCCGAAAAGCATATATCTTCTTTCCACAAAAGGTCGGACGGGAAATACCCTTCGATATCAATAAAGCATGAGAAGACCAATAAAGATTAGAGGAAAAATTTACACCATAATGAATGACCATTGAAGCTGTTTTTATTACAGAATCTGTAATATGGGATTCCAACGGGATGTTTAAGTGCTATTCGTGTCTCAAACTGAAATTAACAATTTGACAGCAAGAAGGGTTAGATATCAGACTATCAACAACATACAGTCGTTTAATGAGCAACAAATACTCATTCATTATAAAAAGATGTAAAAAGGTGGAAGTTGGTGTATATACAGTGACAGCATTTGCATACTTAACAAAATTGTTGTCCGTAGATGATAGGTTATACAGAAAAAATGAGGAAAGCAAAAGGGAAAAGACAGCTTCTTGTGACATACCTTCTTGAGTTGGTAAAAACGTTGAACACTTTCCTTTTGGCACAATAATAACGTACTGACAGTTCATCCATTTTTGTTAAAATGATTGTCGTCGCATAAAATTGCCACTTTCGCCCTTTTAATTTTCTCAGTCTACAATGACTACTGTTCTGTTCCAGAAGTTATCTGATTTTATATGACCAATTACATAGAAATCGATGCTGCTACTTTCAAAATCATGCAAAAAATGATTACAGATTTCTACTCAATACAACAATATGTCTTTGATGTAAAATGATTCCTACAAAATCATTTAATTTTGTCCTCCTTTTTCAAAAAAACATTATAACTTGAAACACCTATTTCTCTTCTCCGAAAATTCGATACACTATTGAGTAATTTTTATAATTAACAACCAAACTTTAGGTTTCAAAACAACCGACATTTACGGTACAGATGAGCAATTTATAAATTTTATATTTCAAGCTATCATAATTTACCAGCAACTCTAGGTTAATTTTACAAATATACATCCTTTTTAACAACTACCGTTATCATTGATTTGTTACTTTATTGTAAACATCCCATTTCAAGCTTCAGAAATAATAGATTTTCTCTAGTATTTATCATTGTCTGTTAGCTTTCACTTATGTCAGACTATATATATATGTATACTTTTTTCTAAACTCTAAAAAATGGCTAATTGAACTAACTACTTTTCTGCATATGGAACCTATCCACTTTTAGGCTTTATTCAATGTGTCTAATGAAATTAAAGAATAGTAAAAACATATCAAACTGTTAGATTTTTTTTAACAGTGCAATCGATTGATTTAGTTTTTTCTGTTTGTTTATTTTTGATAAAGTCTTCAACAAGAAAACAGTAAAAACGTTTATTATATATGATGTTTCGTGTAGTATTGTCGTTTTACGTACGCAGTTTGATTCTTTTTTTTGTATTCTGTAAGTGGATGGGATGTTCCTGTTTTGTTTTTAAATTAATCATCTTAGCATATGGCGACAATTTAATACATTCTGTCTGTTTTAACACAGTTATAGCAGAAACTTTGAATTTGTAATTATAAAGCCAAACAACCAAGTCATTCATTACAATAGTTCACTCTAATACTCTTAATTCTTATATAGTTTGTTAACAGTTTATCAAATTTTCCGTTCCGATCATTAAAACTTACGGCTAAATGTATAGCCCCGTTTCTTGTATAAGTTAACCAGGGAATACATTTAGAATGAATCCGTTAAATAGACACCTCAGATCAAATGCTTCTTAATACCAATGAATCAGCATATGCACACTTATGTGTGATTCGAATAGAAAGGTCATGTAATGATTTTTACTGGTCATAGGTTGATCATTGAAATTTTAATCAACAAGTTACCATTTTACTGTACTGGATTTTTATCAGTCAACAAAGTAAATAAAAGTTTAAGTCTAATTATTATTTTATGTCTAATACTAATGTATTTAATTACAACAAAGCTGACATTTTGAAAGAAAATTTCCATTATTAACGAATCAGAAACAGTAAGGAATAGTATGTTGTTGATCAGTTTATCGGTTTTCAATCGAGAAATTCGAGTAGCTGATGTTGTAGAAACAATAATTCCACCTGCTTTTTGTTACTCTAAAACTATTAAATTCATTTGTGCAAAATTATGCTGAAACGTTCATCAAATGATAACACGTATTATTCAGAAATAATGGTAAAGAAAGATTCTCAATGTGAATATTAGAATAACACAAAAGCGAACAATATTGTTTTCAATTAGACCATCATGCTTTACTCTTATCTATATGAATTTATGTTTCAATAATCACAATCAAAAAGATTACGTGACTACACAAAATAGGTAAAGGTACAAGTTAATAGCAGAAAGAGAGGTGTACCTTGAGTGGTAAGAATAATAAAATACAATAATAGCGCCATTCTATCACATTTTTTAAATCAACTACGTTTCTTGTTTGTTCTATAAAGAAAACAATTAAAGTGTTTGTCAATAGTTCAACATTGGAAGTAGTAGGTCAAACGTGAATAAAAAGACTTGGAATAATCACAATCTACAATTGGAATTATGTAATAAAAAATGTGTAAAAATTAGGTAGTGTATTGCATTTTGTGTAATCGCCAACAAAGTTGGCATGCGAACATAAATTCGGACAGATTCATAGAATACAATAATTTTTTCTTATTACAGTTAAAAATAAGAATATTCTCCAAGCATATTCTCATTTTACCGTAACTTGGACATTTCATAAATGTAACGGATATATTTGATGAGAAAATTACCGTACAGTTAATCAGCTTCCTTGAGCATTCCATATTTTAATTTCATACTACTCACTTACCATTTACATAAATGTCACTCTGTTTCCATTTTTGGTGAACTTTTTATAAATCCTCTTCCATAAAACAGACAGTCCATATTTCTAAAAATGTTTACGTTTGGTAATTTGCAGTCACTCACTGTGTATTATAAATCATTTTCATATTGACAACTTGAGCTTGATGAAACCAATAGAACTACGCGTTTATTTTATTTACTTTTCAAGACTATGTAAAGCACTCGCTTTCAGAGTAGACACCCAGGTTTTTGAGGCATATTTTTCTCTGTAATGTCATTCAAATAAATTAGGTAACTTACAACACGTTTGTTCTTGTTAACAGATAAGCTTTTTCTAATCGGTGTTATCATGGTAATCTTATATTACCATATTATTATTACCATATTACCTCATGTACCAATGGTTTCTGATCGACATCCGAACTCGTTCACTCGTTATTTTCTACTAACAATAATAACCATCTGATATATACACCGACTGTATAGTCAGTTATGGTAATTCTATTGTAATAGGAGTTTTCCTAAGTTGCTGACAATAAATAATGTTTAATGTGTAATTTGCGTTACGGAGTTGTGAAGATTGTTAAGTTACACATTTTTGAAACCATGAATCGATCAATGTTAGACCACCATTAGAACCCTGGAAGCACTGGACTGCCGTTTCTTCCTGGTATGGGACTCCTCAGCAGTGCACATCCTCGACTCCTGCACCCCGCAGGACCTTCGTTATTGTAGGCGAACGCCTTACCGTCGGATCACTGAGCCGGTATCTAACGGTGTTAATGTCCTGCGCGGTGCAGGAGTCGTGGATGCTCACTGCTGAGGGTCCCATACCATGACGAAACGTTCGTCCAGTGCTTCCAGGTTTCTAATGGTGGTCTAACATTGATCAATTCATGGTTTCAAAAATGTGTAATTGACTCTCTTTTGTCATTAATCCACTGATTTAATTTTTAAATAGTTAGGAATTTTTATTAACTGAATTTTAATCAGTTGAATATTTTTTAAATATCACAATAGTATTGGTTATCAAAAGTAATCATTATAAATACCAACTTTAGAATATGTTTAATTCTAGTCTATTATCATTTTCATTTACACCGAAACTATGCACATTTAATTTGAAAAATAACAATCCCAATTTTTCTGTAGAATTTTTTAATTATGATAATGGTTACAACTGTGTAAACGTTTGACAGTGGTGTTACTTCTAAGCTCTCTACTACATTATTAAAGCTAGTTTGTAATGAAATTTAGAATTTTATTGCTCTTTCTGTTCTTGTAGTGCCGTAGTAATCTCAACATACTAATGATATTACATTTTATACTCTGATTCTGATATTGTTCCTCACTATTTATTTGAATTCATATTACTTAATGTAACTGAATAACAACTATTTTCTCATTAACATTTCACTGAAAAGGACGCATTCAACCGCTAAACAAGTTCCGCCTTAAGCTACCGACAATAGTATTTATCACTGTGCATATTTTATGCAGAAGCACTTACAATGCAAGAACAGAAAGGTGTGTCCTTATTCATATCTAAGAGTTTATCCTACGAAAATTGAGATTAAAAGGTGAACATATTGTTAACATTTCTACTAACTGTCATCTAGTTGATAAAGGATATTTCGTTTTAAAATTATTCAAAAATAACCATTATCTAAATAACTTTAAATGTACTACTATACGTCCAGGACACCGTCACATAACTTTTCGATAGCTGGTGTTTTTATTGTAATCAAATAATATTAGGAATATTATCATTGTTTTTAAGTTGCATTCAGCTGACAAGAATTCACGAAATAAGTGAATTCATCTTACGCTTTAATCACATTTACCAGTGTTAAAGGTTCAATAAAGTATGGAAAGAATGTTAAGTCAATGTTCCAGAAGAGTTATTCTGCATTCAAAACAATTATTATCCCTATCCATTTTAAAAACAGCTAGCCCACCTAAAAAATATGTAGGTTAATCGGCCGCCAACGGAATTCATGATATGATATCTATCATGTCACTTTTAAGATCATGTTCTTCCTTTGTGTAATAGGCATTTATATTTATAAATTATACCAACTGAATTAATCTCACATTCTTTATACTGACTATAATGTTTTGGCTTCAATAATTTTATTTTAAGTAACATATTTTTCTTTAAGTTTAACTGTAAATTTATGTTTAATGTTATTAACGTCCTATTACACCATTTATTAATATAGCGACTCCAGTAGTTCAACAACCAATAGCTCTGATGTCTACAGTGTGCTATGGTCCGCAACCTTCCTCTTTATCATGTAACATTTGTATGAATAAAATTACTACAATTGTTCATTACCGTAATGGAGTATGTACTTGGATGGCTTGTACTGGAATAGCATTAATCGGGTAGGTTTCTAAAAGTTTGGTTTATTGTCAAAATTTGTTAAAACAAACAAATGTTTTTTCTTCCTACAAATATGCTAGTGTACAATTTAATAAATTACATAAATATGTAAGGTTGTTTGAAATACCCAACCAAAGTTGATGATAAATAAAGTTACATTCGATTGCATTGTTGCATATATCATACTTTTCACCCTTCATTATAAAGTAATCACCTTTAAATGAAGAAAGTTGTCATTTCCTAATGAAACATTCTACAAATCCTTTGCCCTTGTTTATCAAGATTTAAAACTTTCTTAGCTGTAAATATCCACGATGCATAGTCTCATATTAATTCTTTTCCTAGATAGTCTAATTAAAAACATCCGGCTTTAAATTAGTATAAACTTATGAAAACGTTTATTAACTGTTGAATCGTTGGAAGAAATCATCGAAAAGCCTCGAAATAAGCTTTCAAACTAGTTACCGAGGAATATCTGTCATCGTCAGAGAAGTACTCCTCATTTTGTTCATTTTTCCAGTCGTTATGTTAAAGTATACCACTGTATAGTCTATAATACTTATTATATATGATGTTCAAACGATTGACCATACCTATTTTTTACACATTTGAAATCATCGATTAATCACTGTTAGAACACCATTAGAAACCTGGAAACACTGGAAGACCGTTTAGTCCATTATATGGGACTCATCAGCAGTGCGCATCCATGACTCCTGCACCCGGGACCTTCGGTCTTGTGGTCGAACGCCTGACCTCTGGACCACTTGGTTGGCGTCCAGCGGTGTTAATGTCTAACTCCGATTGATCTAGGGATTTCGCACCCATTTTTCTTTGGTATTTATTGCCTACACCCGACAGGGTTGCACTTCACTGGCCAAATCACTCCCAGAATTTCCTCATGAAGCTAGTCACTAGTGAGCACATTTTACGATATTTTAAATTAGAGTTATGGAGATTTGCATTTTTACACATTTGTCATTTATGATCTGCTAACTAACCTTAATCAATAGCCATAAAGTTTAAAGTTGAAGAAATACCAGGAAAATGCCAGTAATTTAATTTGATGTAATCTTTCATAGTATTTAAACACAAAAGAAAGATACTTGTACAAAAATGAACTTTCATTTTGAATGCGCAACTGTCTGGGATGATATGTTATAACTTTCCAAAATGTCTGCTGAAGTAAGTATGCTTATCTACTGGCCGTACAGTAAATTATCGACTCTAAAAATTCACATAGATAATAAGTGAAAATAATAGTTCGTGTTACATCGTAGTTCATTGTTGCATCATTTCTTATTACACAGATATAATACAGCTGTCTATAGAATCCATCTTTGCTTGTTTCCTCTTCTTTTCATCAATTTTGTAGTCTTTTTAAATATCAAGTGGAAGACAAGAGACTTTTATGTTACCTGACTACAGTCTAATTAATAGACTTTCGTTATTTTACATTCAGAAATCATTAGTCGATGAAACAGCAGTACCTACTCACTTATGCCTGTTACCCCTAATGGAGTACAGGCCGCCGACCAGAGAATTATTTTTCTGATTAGCGTTTTTTTAGCAAGTTGGATCTTTACGGGAAGAAGTTGCTAATCCCTTGTCCAACCCTCCTCCTTTATCCGGTAGTAACCCTAAAACAGCTCCAAGCAAAGTTAATGCAACAGCATAAAAAGCATGCAAAACTAATTTAAAGTATGATTAAGAGAGAAGATATGTAATAAAACATAACATTTTTCGTGTATTGACAGATTATTTTATATTACTACTTAGTTATTTTGACTACATCTTTTATTATTTTAGTGGTATATTCGGATGCTGTTTGATACCGTTTTATGTGGATTCATGCAAAGATGCCTATCATAGTTGTCCAGAATGTGGAACATTACTCGGAGTTTACAAACGTATCTAAAATACATTACTGATTGTTATGACTCTTACACAAAAAGTTGTCTTCTTTCTTCTACAGTTGTTTCAATCTATTAAGTGTTTAATATGAAATAAGAATGAAAATATATTCAGGTAATGTCATCTGTATATTATTTTATTGCGTTTTTTTTTCTCGAGCTTTCCTTAATTCCTTATAATTTACATTACTCAATATTGTCTATATTTCAGAAATAATGTATAGTTTCCTTTGACTTCCATATTTTTCAAATACTCTATAGTAGTTCATAATTGCATATACATTAGAAAACATATTTTTATTGTCTTTATCTATAACCTAGTACAACAATGTAATCTGTTTCGATACTATGGAGTTAAACCAATTCATACACAAATGATGCAATGACATTTGATTTTGTTATCAGTTTTTACTAGCAGTAATTTTATGATCTTTATCTAATTACTTCTACTATGTGTTAGCCATTATTACACCTACCATTGTGGATATTTTCTCAAAATAAAAGCTACTGTGCAGAATACTTCATTTACATATATTAAAAAGTTGGATTTCTTTTCAAAACGTAACACTTATTGTTCTCCTATACATATGAGTCGACTCATTACTATTGTTTGTCTTATTTAATTTTGTCTTTTTAAAATGTTTTTATTTTGACAGAGTACCTTTTTTATTCAATATATAATAATGGTTGGTATATTGTTGTTTTATTTTGTTGAGAATCTGAATGTACATAAAACATAACATGTTTCAATAGTCAGTAAGATTTACGTGAAAACTTTGTTTAATGATTGTTTGATCTGTACCTCATGAATATGAATAAATATTGTATTACAAAAAATTTCCATTCTCCTTAACTCATCTATTCCAATTGATTTACATTGTGACAATATTTTCTCAACCTCTTTATTATTCAGTTTCTTCATTCTCTAGTCAAGTTCCATCGCAGTGCGTTCAGTATATCAATCTCCGCAGAAGTAGCTGTATTCATAGATGCACATTCAAGAGACTTATTCCATCTCCTGCAGAGATCGATATAGTGAGTATACTACTAGGCAACCTGACTGACAAATGAGCGGATATCTCTAAGCTTAGTCTGTAAAGGGCCAGACAAAAGCTATAAGCAGATCTACACTGGTTAACATGTTTGACAGTGGTCATGTGGTAGATAAAATTAACTCCTTTTCAATTAATTTATCATATGGTGCTCAAATTTTGAATACCGCACATCATATCATATGCCTTCGTTGTTTTTCATTAAATCCCGATCCCTCTCGCAACTTGTAGCAGGAGCTAATAGGTACTGAAACTATAACCCTAGTTTCTCTGTACAGGAAAAATTTGTGATTCTCTTGTTCTTTACTTAGCCGAATATTACCTGTTGAGCCCTTTCACTGTATTTTCACATCTTATATTTGTTTGTCAATCTTCGCATCCTCTTTACATTCGTCACTATCTGATTATTCACAAAATTTGTATTGCATAATTTAGTTAGTTACTATTTTAAATTTCATTAAAATCATAAATCGATCTAAGGTAGACTGCCATTGAAACCTTGGAAGCTCTGGACAGAAATTTTGTCCTAGAATGGTACAGCTCAACAGTGGGCATCCACGATCATGATTTCATTGAAATTCATCGATCATCATAACTCCACATCAACAACTGTCATATAGTTACTGGTGATTAGCTTCGACCGGAAATTTTCATCGTTGTAATAAGAAACCGTAATCAGTGGAGCCAAACCGTGTTGGGTATGAAACCGTCACCCATAGAAAACTGTAGAGGACGACTACACAGTGCTGTGGATTGAATGGACAATAAAACCGTTGGATTCCGGCTCAATCGTCTAGAAGTTATGTGTTTTCATGCATGATCGAAGGTGCTAGGTTCGATTCCTGCGTGCGGAGTCATTGAAGCGCATGGCCAAGAGTTCCCGTACTAGGACTAGATGGCCGTTCACTGCCTCCAGGTGTCTAGGGCTGATCGATTCATGGATTTAACGAAACTCAACCAATATCCACAACCCCATACTGACTAGTATTTTATAGATTTTTCGTTCAAGTTTAACTTACTCCCTATGTTAAACTGCGGGTCTTAACTTTGATTATTCTTCTGACTACAAGTACAACTGTCTTATTATCAACTTTTACCTGTTGTATGTAGTCATACAATCTATTTCACGGTGATCATAACCTTGATACGTTTCATATTTTCATAAACCCACAAAAATATTTAGATTTTATACAGTAAAGACTAATGATGATCTAATAGCAAACATTAGTGTTCACATATATGTATTGTTCTAATTTACAATATATGAATTCTTGACATTTTAAAAATGCACAAATCTTCATTCGTAAATGAATTAATAAAACTGAACCTTCCAAAAATATTTGATAATTGTGAAATTCATTGAGTTCCGTACTAATTGTCATTTATTTTAGTGGTAAAGGGATTTGAGAAGCCAGCTCCTATTGATTCTGATTTAAAATTTCCTAACGATTAATTAAACATTATAATTATCACAATACAATGGTCTTAAATCTCTTGTTTTTCGTTGAAATAATGAATAACAAATAAATCATTCTCAGCATAACATCGTTAAATATGTTTTGTCACTGAAGCAATTACCTATCCACAGATTATAAAGTAGATAAAAGTTCAAACTACTTGTTATAATACTTATTCAAAAATTTGTTACTCTTTTACTCCTGTCACCCCTGATGGAGCATAGGCCGCCAACCAGTGTTCTCCAGCCTAAAGAATTTATAATAATAGTAATTTTACAAAGTATTTCTGGCTCAATATTTTTACGAAACAGGAAATATTTCGACCCGCTGGAATACATGACTTTACTAAAATAGCGTAAAATTCAGAAAGTTTTTTAATTAATCCAAAAAAAATTTTAGTAGCCATAAAAGTTCTGTAAGTGGTGCAAATGTCTCAAAAGCTGAAGCTTAAAAATGTTTTTCTTCAAATTCATGTCTAGAAAGATTGTTTTCATACATTTAACGACTTTACGGAGTAAAATTAAAGCCTAAAAATGCCATTAAGCTGGAAAATTACTTTTAGTTTAGTCATTATTTATCTTAGGAAATGTACTTGTTCATGAGAGTGTATGAATTCCTTCTGTGTATTACAGGGATATATTCGCGTCTTATAATGACACACATTTCTAAGTTTAGCGAATGATTTCAAGTGAAATGAAGAGATAAACAGTTGGAAGACTGTGTTTTACAAAATAATCAATCGGTAACTTTCGTTATATCTAAAATAAAGTTTATGAAATCCATGAAATCTATCTATCTATCATTTTACTATCTACTTTATAAGACATTCCTTCTTCTTCTTCACTTTATGATATACACTTCCGTAAAATCTTTGATCAATGGTAATACTAATATTTTAAAGTATAAAATGTGAATGTGAAGGATTTGAAACAAAATTAATACACATCGAAATTAAATTAACTATTGATACAATTAACTGAATTACTCAAAACACTATTTTTGTTTTGATGCAATTTAACATTTCAAATTAATTTGCTTCTTAATGCTCAATACATCACCTTCATACGTTGTTGTTTAAACCAATCGTTAGGGCGGTGACTATTCTTACGCTTTCTTTGAATATATATATATGGTTCTTGATTTATAAAACAAGCGTATGTTTATTTCACATTTGCATTGATTATGTTTAGTATACTTTGTGAATTAGGCATTAAATGGTTGTTGAGACGGAATAAAAATTAGGCCATCATTGTCTATTTATAGTCTGTTCCATGTTCACTGCCGAACGTAGAACGAAAGTTTGGTAGTTATTATGAAAGCTAACTTATTGTTACTTGTATCTGTTTATTCATAGGTGTTCAAATGATTTATTATCTGGAACATTTACTGATTTCGTCCGGATTTTCCAACAAAAATATCACCCGCTTTATAACTATTTGGTACAATTTTCATTCTCAACTTCATCTAAAGTGCTGATAAAATAGTATGTTGTTAATAGCATAGTACAAAAGCGTGTACTTAATTGAGTGGTTTTAAAATACTAGTCACTAAGTCGGCATTTTATCAAATAAAAACTCATCATAGTGACAGTAATTAAATAAATTCTTAAAACTTTGTAATTTATTAAGCTAAATTATTTGGTCGACAATGATATGATTGTATTTAACAATAAGTTTGAAAATTACATAATGTGATGGACAGTTGTATCAACTCATTTTTATGAAACCTGATTGCATTATATTATATTTCTAATCTACCTTAACGATACGATTACACACTTAGTTGTCATTCATTTCTCGTAGTCTGTTTAAATACTGTTCTAATTATGAACAGCATACTATATAGGCAAAAGTTTTAGTTGCCTTTGGCCTCAGCTAAGATTTAAGCAACATATACTTTCTAAACAGAATGGAATTCTCTCATTAAATTAAATACACTACAATAGTACCAATGATAAGTGATGCTTTTAACATTTTTAATCAGAGAAAATTTTATGTACAATTCATGGTGTTAGATGATTTTCTCTTCTTTTGTATCATGTTATAAAGGGTTGTAAAAGTTTCATTTACTTATTCATTTTCGCTAGTAATGTGGCCAAATAACTTTTTGAATCGATCACTGTGCAGGGACGAATAAATTCAACTACATGAATAAATATATATATTGATAGATATCCTATTTCTGCAGTTTCGCTTAACTCAGTAATTAAATGATGCTCGTAATGTTTAATCCACAGATCATTAAAGTTACGGGAACCGGTTAGAAGTTTATATTAGACTATACTCAATGACTAGTGGGTTGCTGAACACATAACATTATTTACTTAAATGTCATACTAACTATTGCCAGAATATGGAAGTGCTTTCAAGTTACAGAATAACGTGATTCTAGGAACAATTGGACTCTGAATTTGTCAATTAAAGGATGATGACATAATCATCGATTTAATGGAGAAACTTTTATCAGGTTGTGGTTAGATCGATAACCATGCATTTTATGTTCATCATCAAACACTAGTTCAATCATTTTAACAACAGACTTCTGTAAACCTTCAAGGCAAACAAATATTATGTAGGTTACTTTCTAACATTAGATAGCATAATTAGCTCCAACTTGATAAAGTTTAGATATTTGTCAGTTTGTTTCAGTCTATCGCATACTTACCTTGCAATTGTTGCTTCAACTATTTGAAAATCTAACTTATAAACTATGTATTGAAAAACAAACTTCTGATGAATTCGTTTTAGTTTCTTGTATTCAGAAGTGATTGTCTTAAAAAATAAATGATACAACACTATCATCAACTGTTAATATTACCCTTATGTCGTATATCATTATTTCTAGATCCATTACCAGTTGTGTTGTAACATTCCCAACTGGTAGAAAATTCACATCTCAATACACAATTTTTTCTAATCTATTCTGCTTTGTTTCTAACTTATTTTATCGACAAAATGGTCTGCTTATAATTGTTAGTGAGTTGACAAATAATTAAATATATATATGAGCTAATAGTGGAAAGATTTGCTTATTATTATTATTATTTTCATAAGCAAAACAACTGCATTTCCTCTAAACTTGTTTACATATACCACAACTGATCTGTTTATTTTAATTCATATGTATATATGTAAAGCCCAAACAAATAATAAAATTCACAGAATCAAAATCTTCACCTAAACATTTATCACTCTTATAACAAAATCAACAAACTAATGGTTTAGTTTAAATAAAAAAGAAACTAAGCTCTAGGCGTAATACAAAAACTTTTGCGTTGTTTTTATTTTAAAATAATGCAAATTTTTC